CTTCTGTTTTTCCTAACCCATGATATCTATTGCTTTCAGTTTTAGATTGCAGCAAATACAGTCTAATGTTGTGATTTATCAATCTATCAAATATTGTCCCTAAGTCCCTATAAAAGAAGTTGAACTTTACTGAGTGAAAACCTTGATCATGTTTAGAAAATGGATACCACACTGATAAAAAAAAAATCATGTTCCTTATTATGGCTCACTAAAACATAAGAATGCATCCTAAGCCTGGTATATGAATGGTTTTACCTTAAATGGCCTAATACTCAACAAATGACCAAGCCCCTTCTAAGGGTTACGATCGGTCAAAATCGGTCAATACTACCAATTAGTCCTGAATATACCACAGTCAAAACTTACAATAAGTTAGACTTTGACCAGGGCTGTGACACACATGCATCTGGTTTGATCATCTGCCAAACCAGAAATAGTGGGGAGGTGGGGGATGGGACTCCTTGGCGAGTCTACAGTACAGCTAAGTTTCTAGTCACGTTTTTCCATTATTGAATTTGCTATCTTTATCAATTAGTACTTAATTAAATGTTATATACAGTTTGACTTTACCTGCAAGTGTTTGTGTGATCTCTTTGCACATCTTAAAAATAACCTCAAAAATGTATCATGTGACCCTGATAAAACACACACTGGCACCAAACCAGTCATTATAGAATACCTGCACATCAGCACTTTTAGAAGCCTTCAGCAAAGGATAAGTTCACCTTTCATAACACCCATATGCAGAGACCGGCCTGCCCCCACATTCCCCCGATCCCCATTGTGACAGCTAGCAGGGGACCTTCTCCTTCCCACTAGCTGTCACAATTTTGCCCGGCCCCATCACTCATTCACAGTATTCTGTGAACGTGAAAACTACAAATCCCGGCAGCCTTTGCGGCTGTCGGCTTGTAGTTTTCAATGAATTACCATGGTGCACCACAGCGCTGTGGTAGTTCATTGAGCCTTCCTGTCAGTAAGTATCTGCTTTCCTGTACGGGATGTACGCGCAAGAAGATAAACTGACAGGTCAGGAGGAGACCTGCATGGCACCAGTGATCTGCTGATAATTGGTGCAATGCTTTGAGGCTCCACAAACAAAAAATAATAAATGCTCATATGTTTACCTGCAAAACAATGTGTATTATTTTTTGTTAAAAGGTGAACTTATCCTTTAATCTGATAATTAACAATGCTAATATTCGTTATACTGTATGTATGAATAGATGGACTATATGTATGAATAGATGGATAAGAATTAAATTGTTTTTATATGTTCAAGATTGAGAAAAGTATGTATGTGAAAATACATATGTGTTTGGTATCTAAAAGCTACAACTAAGGCTTTACAGATGGTAGTCATTAGACATGACTAACACAGCCCCTACCATCTCAAATTGTCTGTACCTGAGGTCTCCTGTAGAATACTTCTATTGATAGTGTGTAAGTGAATATTAATTATGATGAAGTTAAAATGCAATCTTATAATGTAATATTTCTTGAGTAAGACATGATTATAGGAAAGAAGATTACATTATGTATACATGCAGTATATTGGTATATGTAATATTGTTTGATTCAGATGATACTTCTAGAGTATATTCCCTTTCCCCCAACCTACTTTTGTCATGCATTCCAGGAGAAAATGGAATTTTAGGAGCTCTTCAGAACCTGAATTGGGGGAGGGCTTTTTTTTTTTTAACACACAGGTTGCTGGTTGGCAGTAAGAGTCCCAAAGTGTTGGGTGTGGTAGGGGATTTCTCTCTCTTCCACAATACATTCTGCAGGTCACATTAAGACAGATACACACACAAAAGACATGAACAGACACATGCCCTTAGAAAAACTTGACAAAGAAATTTATCTCAACAACATAACTATACTTTTTGACTTTGTTTTATATTCAACATTACAATATTCATCCTGTCATCATTTGCCAATTTGTTATTAAACACATTTTTTATTTTTATGCAAAAAATGGAAGGACTTTTTAATTTAAGCACCTCACCATTAAAGGTTATGAGATACCAAAAATCATATTTTGCAAGCTACAACAAGTTCCTTTTAAAGATGATATTTAATGGGTTTGCTTTCTCTTTGTTTCCTGTGACCAACTGCATGTTATTTATCTAAAGGCCTATATGCAGATCTAGGCTTTTCACAATTAAAAGAATTAATGTTTTGGAAAGTTAAATACTGTCTTTAGCAGACTTGTACATTTTGAGTTTTTCCCGACCTAATTTCCTTCTAGCAGTATTTTTTGTACTCTTTGTAATTTACAAATAATGAAAGTGTTGCCTTAGGTTTACACATTTTAAAACACTATTTTCTTATTCTTAGATATTTTGCAAGGGAATATGCCCCAGAGCTTAGTGAATGAGGTGCAACTCTGCTGATTTCCATCACGTGCAAGCAAAAATGCTGTTTTTTTATATTCCTTGAACATGATTAAGTTCTCTTTGCAAAGTGAAACCACTAAAATCCAGGGAAAAACCCCATGTAAAATGTAACCTACCTGGTGAAGTGAACAGCCTATTTGCCTTTAGTAAAACAAGTCATGTAATAAGTCATGTGACCCAAATCAGAAAACCCTGTGATTTGTTCATTTACCTGGCCAAAGATGATTAGTTTTTTTTGTTCAGCCCAAAAATAAAAAGAACAGACTCCTCCATCCACATAAGCAAGGTGGGTGGAGGAATCTCTCCTTCCGGGACATTGTATTCTGACAGTGGGATTCTCTGCTGTCAGAATACACTGATCAGCGGCTGCAGCTACTAAGCTGCAGCTGCTGAACAGCAAAGGTTTTCCAACATTACTATTCAAAAGAAGTAGATCTATAGATTGACTTCTGTCGAACAGGGATAGCCACTTATGGATTGAAATTCACCTGGTCCCTGCTGAACCGTTTGAATTTGGATCCATCTATGGCCAGCTTTATATCCAACAGATAAGTACATAACACTTTAAGAAAAAAGACATTTAACGTATTACATTTAGGATCGTCACAAGAGCAGGACTTTTTTGAGACAAAATCACACATTTTTTTTTTTCCTGATAAAAATAATCTGTGTCATCATTTTCTATCATCTCTTCTTTTATGTCAAAAGGGTGTTTAGTTTAACCAGTTGCCGACCGCAGATAGCCGAATGACGGCTTCACTGCGGCCGGCCAGTTCTGGGTGGACGTCATATGACGTCCCCCCAGAACGCGCTCTCCTGCGCGCCCCAGGGGGCGCGCACCCGGCGATCTCCGTGATCGCTGTGTCCTACGGACACAGCTGATCACGAGATGTGGTAAAAGGCCGATCATACCGGCCTTTTACCACGTGATCAGCGGTGTCCAATGACACGTTGATCACAGGGAAATGCAAGTGCCGGTTCTCGGCTGCACTTTCCTCACGCTGTCAGATCGTGAGGAAAGTACTGCCGAGAACCGGCAGTTGTCAGAGCGAGGATCGGCACCGATCATCAGGGCCACTGATGATTAGTGCCCTGATGATCGGTGCCCAGCAGTGCCACCCACAAGTTCCGCCCACCTGTGCCCAGCAGTGCGCCCACTAGCTCCGCCCACCTGTGCCCAGCAGTGCCCCCACCTGTGCCCAGCAGTGCCCCCACCTGTGCCACTCTGCAGTGTCACACACCTGTGCCCAGAAGTGCCACCTACCTGTGCCCAGCAGTGCCACCCACCTTTGCCCACCCACCTGTGCCCACCAGTGCCACCCACCTGTGCCCACCAGTGCCACCCACCTGTGCAGCCCAGCAGTGCTGCCAGTCAGTGCCACCAGTCAGTGCCCAGCGGTTGTGCCAGTCAGTGCCGCCAGTCAGTGCCCAGCAGTGATGCCAGTCAATGCCATCTATCAGTATCCATCATCAGTGTCACCCATCAGTGCCGCCTATCAGTGCTGCATATTAGTGCCGCCTATCGGTGACACCTCATTGTGCTGCCTATCAGTGCCGCCTATCCGTGCCACCTCATTAGTACTGCCTATCAGTGCCCTTTAGTGCTGCCTATCAGTGCCCATCAGTGCCGCCTATCAGTGCCCATCAGTGCTGCCTCATCAACGCACATCAGTGAAGTAGAAAAAATACCTGTTTGAAAAATTTTATAATAGAAAAAGAAACTTTTTTTTTTTTTCAAATTTTTTGCACTTTTTTAATTTATAGCGCAAAAAGTAAAGCGCCCGGTGGCGATTAAATACCACCAAAAGAAAGCTCTATTTGTGAGAAAAAAAATGATCAAAATTTCATATGGGTACAATGTTGCATGACTGCGCAATTGTCAATCAAAGTGCGGCAGAACTGAAAGCTGAAAATTGGCCTGGTAAGGAAGGGGGTATAAGTGCCTGGTAGGCAAGTGGTTAAACAGGGAATATCCCAGACCTCCTAGCACAAATAGCTAGTTAATAAAGTAGTTAGTTCAAATGTACAAATTGATTAGTACTACTAAAGATCCTTTGTAAGCATTTATTAAACATGGTCTATGGTATTAAATATGGACAGGCTTACAGGATAACTTAGAACAATAATGTCTTTGTGACGGTACTTTCAAGATATTAAAGTGTATGTAAACCCCAACAGAAATAATGACAGAGGCAATTGTGCAGTGTGATCTATTTGTTTAAAAGTTGTTAATTGTTGTGTATATCGCTCGTTCTGGCCGGAAGGGAGTGGCTACAAGGTCACACGCACACTGTATCATCCCTCCTAGATTGTAAGCTCCAAGGAGCAGGGCCCTCCTATCCCTCTTGTATTGAACTGTATTGTCTCCTTTTATATTGTAAAGCGCTGAGCAAACTGTTGGCGCTATATAAATCCTGTATATAATAATAATAATAATAATAAAAGTAGATTTCATGACATAGTTCTATTTAGGTATGAGTATCTAACAAAAGTGAAAATAAACAGTTCTTCAAATATAATGTTCATCTGAATAATATGATTTAATTTGACGTTATACCAAAAAAATAAAATGTCCTAAAAAAATAATTTTTAAAAACGTACCGGACGATTCACTTTCTGCCCACAAAGCTGCTGACCCAGAAAATGTTCTTGGAAGCTGAGGAACATTTCCCAATTTTGATTGAAGATGATTAATTAAAAAAGGAATTGGCTGGTCTGGTGTCTCTGTGATTAGCTTGGTCATTAACTCCTACGAAAAATACAAAGAATCGGATTAGAAAATAATATATTTAAATGATGTGTACATTGCAGGATTATCATGCAAAAATCGTAAATCCCAGAGTTGCCTGATGCCTTAAAATAAAGGCCTTTCACAAAAATTATCTACATTTTAAACTTGTCATAAAAACTGTGTCCTAACCCTGATACAATTTTATAATGCACAGTATACTCTTCAGCACATCTAAAGCTCTAAAGTCACACACACAAGGCAAAAATTCCCAAAGAAAATAGTATCCGTTCAGCTTTGTCAAGGTAGTAGCATGGTATAGTCTCTCTATCCAGCACATTAACATTCTTTAAAGAGATGCTGTTATCTTCCTCATTTGGTCCAAAGTTAAGAAGTCTTTGTAAAGGTCCCACCAACCCAGTTATACTTGCCAGTACTCAATCACAGCTCCTGCCTCCATTACAGCAGCCAACACTACCAGACTGTGGGGGATGTGACAGTTTCCTTGAATTGGCAAGGAAACAGTGTCTTCCTAAACACAGGATGTAGCATTTCAAGTAGCCACATATGCTTAGTAAAATAGGTAAACTAAAAAAAAAAAAAAAAAATGATTTCCGTACTATGCATCAGGATTCATTAAAGTGTACCTTCAGCCAACAGGCTTTTTTGGTCAAAAAATAAATCTTCCACAGCTGGCTCAAAATAAAAAAAAATACTTAAATTTCACATTTGGCATATTAGCATTTTTTAGTTTAATTGGATATTCATAGAGAAATAAGTATGAAACCACTCCACGCTCCCCTTGCAGATAACCAGTCTCAAAAATAAATGTAAACAGTTTTACCAGCCAAGAAATGTGTAAATCTGCCCACTGGTCTTGTGATATACTCATACCTGTTACACTGTTACAGCTAGTTAGTGTGACCAAAGGTCTAAAGATAACTGGGCTGCATCTTGTAGACACAGTTGCTGCTATGTAGTTCCTCTACAGCTAGATAAGCTTTACTGCACACAATAGGCTTCATTCATCTTTATAGTACAGGCAAATACAGTCAGGTCCATAAATATTGGGACATCGACACAATTCTAAGATTTTTGGCTCTATACACCACCACAATGGATTTGAAATGAAACGAACAAGATGTGCTTTAACTGCAGACTGTCAGCTTTAATTTGAGGGTATTTACATCCAAATCAGGTGAACGGTGTAGGAATTACAACAGTTTGCATATGTGCCTCCCACTTGTTAGGGAACCAAAAGTAATGGGACAATTGGCTTCTCAGCTGTTCAATGGCCAGGTGTGTGTTATTCCCTCATTATCCCAATTACAATGAGCAGATAAAAGGTCCAGAGTTCATTTCAAGTGTGCTATTTGCATTTGGAATCTGTTGCTGTCAACTCTCAAGATGAGATCCAAAGAGCTGTCACTATCAGTGCGGCAAGCCATCATTAGGCTGAAAAAACAAAACAAACCCATCAGAGAGATAGCAAAAACATTAGGCGTGGCCAAAACAACTGTATGGAGCTCAGCAACAACTGTGGTGGATGACCGAAGAATTCTTTCCCTGGTGAAGAAAACACCCTTCACAACAGTTGGCCAGATCAAGAACACTCTCCAGGAGGGAGGTGTATGTGTGTCAAAGTCACCAATCAAGAGAAGACTTCACCAGAGTGAATACAGAGAGTTCACCACAAGATGGAAACCATTGGTGAGCCTCAAAAACAGGAAGGCCAGATTAGAGTTTGCCAAACGACATCTAAAAAAGCCTTCACAGTTCTGGAACAACATCCTATGGACAGATGAGACCGAGATCAACTTGTACCAGAGTGATGGGAAGAAAAGAGTATGGAGAAGGAAAGGAACTGCTCATGATCCTAAGCATACCACCTCATCAGTGAAGCACGGTGGTGGTGGTAGTGTCATGGCGTGGGCATGTATGGCTGCCAATGGAACTGCTTCTCTTGTATTTATTGATGATGTGACTGCTGACAAAAGCAGCAGGATGAATTGTGAAGTGTTTCGAGAATATTATCTGCTCATATTCAGCCAAATGCTTCAGAACTCATTGGACGCCGCTTCACAGTGCAGATGGACAATGACCCAAAGCAGACTGCAAAAGCAACCAAAGAGTTTTTTAAGGGAAAGAAGTGGAATGTTATGCAATGGCCAAGTCAATCACCTGACCTGAATCCGATTGAGCATGCATTTCACTTGCTGAAGACAAAACTGAAGGGAAAATGCCCCAAGAACAAGCAGGAACTGAAGACAGTTGCAGTAGAGGCCTGGCAGAGCATCACCAGGGATGAAACCCAGCGTCTGGTGATGTCTATGCGTTCCAGACTTCACGCTGTAATTGACTGCAAAGGATTTGCAACCAAGTATTAAAAAGTGAAAGTTTGATTTATGGTTAATATTCTGTCCCATTACTTTTGGTCCCTTAAGAAGTGGGAGGCACATACGCAAACTGTTGTAATTCCTACACCGTTCACCTGATTTGGATGTAAATACCCTCAAATTAAAGCTGACAGTCTGCAGTTAAAGCCCATCTTGTTCGTTTCATTTTAAATCCATTGTGGTGGTGTATAGAGCCAAAAATGTTAGAATTGTGTCCATGTCCCAATATTTATGGACCTGACTGTATACGCAAGCAAGAATATTCAATCAGAAAATGCATGAAAAGCATCCCTGTGCAAGGGCCAGGAACTGGTTCGCCTGCTGGTGGCACTGTGGTTCTCAGATCTGAAGGTTGTAATTCCAGTGTCCACCAGAGTTGCTTCCAAGCTGCCAACAGTTCTTAGCAATTAATCTTCACCTGATGCAGGCAGCTGGGAGGGTATTTAGCCCCTCCTATGTAATTCCATTTTGCTTCAGTGTTTACCTGCTAGTCATATTCCTGCTTGTTGATCTCTGCCATCTCCTGTACCTTGTATCCTATTACCCCCAACTCTGCTTCCCTTGTTTCCAGTTCCGGTCCTGCTTATGCCCAGTTTATGTCTGCTCCCCTCTGTTTGTATATAGGGAATATAGTTAGGTTGTTGGTTTGGTTTTGCTGCACTGTCATGTTTATTTTTCACTTTTTCTTTGCTTATGGTTTGTTGTTGTTGGACTGGTGTTGTGTGTATTAATAAACTTCATTCTAATCATACACATTCTGATTTCAGTTTACTAAGTGCAGCTACACAGATCTGGTCATCCCTACTGCATGATACCTGCATTTGGTATGCTGGTGTTCATGCATGTGTCAATGTCTGTGCTCATCCGTACTGTGTCTTTTTTACAACTCCATTTACCCTAAGAAGTATTTGATGCATGTCATTTACATAATGAAGACCATCTAGCTGCAGCCTACTGCTCATCTCAACAAATGCTTAAAGTCTAGACCAGCCTCTCTCAACCGGGTGCCGTGGCACCCCAGGGTTCCACAAAAGGTCTTCAAGGGTGCAGTGGTATCCTGGTAGAGAAAGGATGTCAGTTGAGCCCGTTCTCTCGATCCCCAGCCACACTGTACATCAATGTGTCTATGTGTGTGTGTGTACATGCATTTGTATGTGTGTGTTTTTATATGTGTGTGTGTATATATATATATATATATATGTGTTACTTTTAATCTTGACCCCCTATTCCTGTACTCAGAACTGCTTTTTTAGGACTTGATGGCAATATGTTGCCTCCTCACCACCTGTTTTAACCCCGTAAATGCAGCATCACCACAGCACAACTGTGTACAATGTGTACACAGTTTCAGGGTGGTTATAGTGCAACCCCATACACCTGGAAGTATACTTCCAGCTGCGGCCACAGCATGTGAATACCCCCAGCTGCTGCTTCTGCAGGTAAAGGGGGAGCAGTTAGGGATGGTAAAAGCAGCTCAACTGTGTGGTTGTACCTCCCTTCAACCTCAAGGGTGAACAGGCCCTTGGTTCACATCTGTGTGGCTGTGTTTAGGGCAGCCCATTCATTCCAATTGGCTGCCCTACCTGCAGAAATCCAGGAAAAGTCATCATTGACCCTTTTTTCAAAATTGTACCACACCAAAACACCCAGAGTTTGCCAATGTATGGGGTACCATTAAGAATTAATGTCCCAGAAGATGGGGAGGGAGGACAACTATGCGGAAGTGGGAACGGGAATCTGTCAAATTCGGATACCCACCCCCCCTTCCGCTACTAAGAGGTCTGCAGTCTCTGGTCCTCTCCTGTGCTATGTCCGCAGTCTCTGACCATCTCCTGTAGTAGGTCCGCAGTCTCTGGTCATCTCCTGTACTATGTCCGCAGTCTCTGGTCATCTCCTGTGCTATGTCCGCAGTCTCTGACCATCTCCTGTAGTAGGTCCGCAGTCTCTGGTCATCTCCTGTACTGTGTCCGCAGTCTCTGGTCATTTCCTGTACTATGTCCGCAGTCTCTGGTCATTTCCTGTACTATGTCCGCAGTCTCTGGTCATCTCCTGTACTATGTCCGCAGTCTCTGGTCATCTCCTGTACTATGTTTACAGTCTCTGGTCAACTCCTGTACTATGTCCGCAGTCTCTGGTCGTTTCCTGTACTATGTCCACAGTCTCTGGTCATCTCCTGTACTCTGTCTGCAGTGCATTGGTTCAGAATATTTTTTTTCTTGTTTTCCTCCTCTAAATCCTAGGTGCGTCTTATGGAGCGAAAAATATGGTATATTAGCAATGTTCAAAACCACGCACAATTTTAATTGTTTTCTTTGAGATCTGTTTGCACATACACTGAATTCTATATGAATCAGTTCACCACTGGCTTAATTGCCCACAAAGCACATCTGAATATGAAAGATATGTGATCAAACAGGAGTTATGAAATTTCTATTTAAAAGCATTAATGTGAACTGGAGCATCTCAAGTGAATTCATTACCAAGACTGCTCTGTGCTTGCTTGACAGATGAGAATAATAAACTTTCAAGTTTGATTTCATCCTGATAAAAGCTACATTGTTCAACAATTATTTTACCAGCACAATTGAAGGTAATTCTTTAAACACCACAGTAAGAAAA